AGATAATCCTTTATTCGTCCCACAAAGGGGAAATTTGTTTTGTGATAGACACCAACCAGTTTCTCAAAATCTCCCCAGCTATAAAATATAACAGTTTAACACTGACTCCTTCAAAGCCTGAATGCAAAATGGCTCAACTCTCTATGAGCTGAATTATTATTATTATTTTGTGTTTTGTTACTGCTTCACCAATAGATTCATTTTTCAGGTGATTTAATGAGATGAGCCACGAGCTGAGAGAAAGCAGCCGTGTTCATGATCCCGTTGACGGATAATGAACATGAAAATGCTGAGATACCTGAGGTCATATTTGCAGAATTGGTTCGTTTTTCCCTGTTGTTACATTTAGGGCTTAAAAAAAATATGCAATCAAGGCTGAAGTGTCCTCTGGGTCAAAGTCTGTTATTAAACAACCACAGCACATTTAAGCTGAGTCGTGAAATAATGTCACAACCAAATTTATAGTTTGGGAGTCAGTCGTGATCCAATATGGAACAGACCCTGGGTCTTTCATTTTTAACGCTGTAATAAATGATCAAAGTGTTAAATGCTGGTTGTTAGTGTTTTATCACTTTTATTAGAGACAAATATTTAGATGTTTTTACTGACAACCAGCTTCCTGCCTCACTGACTCTGATTTTAGAATCCTTGGTCAAATAAGAATCAGTGCAAATAAACACGGTGTCCTGTTCTTCTTCAGGTTTATTAGATTTTTTTCTTGGGGAGGTTTTCCTCAGTCGAAGGGTCAAAGGTGAAAGGATAGAGTCTCCAGACTCTACAGGCAAACTGTGCTCTGTGATATTGAGATATAGATCAAATAAATTGCAGGTGAGTTCATCTTTGTGGCTGTGGACAATATTTTTTTATTGGTACAACATTTAGAAAGAAAAATATGGATTTTTATTTGTTTTTACAAAATTTTAAAACCTGTTATTTTTGGAGCCGTCGATATCAGGGGGTGTATGGAAGATTTAAAATGCCTGCATAAAAATAAAATCAAACAAAGAAATGATTCTAATTTGAATAAATGGGCCAAAATAAAAAGTTATTTAAGAGGAGTTGATTTAATCAGATTAAGGATGTGTCACTTCTGCATCCAGCTTAATTTTTCTTGTGATTCTGAAAAATGATTACTCTGCACTCCCAGAGAGCTTCTGCTGTGAGTCTTGTAATAAAGTGCAGTCATTACCCACAGTGCACCTTTGCTAATATTTCATTTTCATCCAATTACAACTCCGCCAGATAATAGGATTTTCACCTCACCCCCTCACTTCCTGTCTCTCCATTTGGCCGTTGAGTGAGATCAGAGCGCTGTCCTGCAGGATTATTACCTCATTTGTCCATGTGTCTATCTGTTTACGCGTCGCTGCTCCTGGATCGTGCACGGCGATAATGTGCATGTATTTATAGTGGGTCTTGTTATTGTTACTGAGTGTGTAAACGGCGTTCTGGTGACAGGCGGTGCAGGATGCACCCTGTCACCGCTCTGAAGTCAAATTTAACGTGACAAAACATGAAGGGGCCGCGTTCCAGCGAACACGATGACATTTCGGGGATGTTGATGATTCTGGGTCATGTCACTGAGCCACATTGTTGATGGAACAGCTTTGGTGTATTAGAAGGATATATTAAATCTGCAGCCGGATGCTAGCCTATAGCTCAAGAGAAACACCCTGAAGCTCACTACCTAACATATTATATGTTATTACATATATATACGTTTGTTCGGTTTGAACAAGAACTATGGTGATTAATAACGCTAAGCTAACAAGCTGCTGGCTATAGCTTCATCCTCCGTAAGTTGACCTATAGGCCAACAGGGGTTATGCAACAAAATCCATGAAATGACAAAATACTGGATCTCGTTACATCCCCGCTTCGAGATTATGTGGAAATCCGTTTTGTGGTTTTTGCGTAATCCTGCTGACAAACAAAGAAATAAAGGCACGGGGATGAAAACACAACGTAAACATAAAACGTCTGCAAATTATTGTTCTACAATGAAAAGTGAAGCCATCTACTCTTTCATTTTCTGACGTGCAGGTGTCTCAGTCAGCGTTTCCACCTTCAACCTGGTGGCCATCTCCCTGGAGCGCTACAGCGCCATTTGCAACCCGCTGACCTCCAGGTCGTGGCAGACCAAATCCCACGCCGCCAAGGTCATCACCGCCACCTGGGTGGTGTCCTTCATCCTGATGCTGCCCTACCCCATCTCCAGCACCCTCAAGCCTTTTACCCGCCTCAACAACAGCACGGGGCACATGTGCCGCCTGGTGTGGCCCAACGACACCATCCAGCAGTCCTGGTGAGTCACTGTCCCACCAGGGGGCCGTCACACTGGGATGCACTGTCGGCCACTTCATCGGTTTTCCAGGTGTTTCTGGGAGGAGTCGACCCCTCAGGGAAATCTTCTGGCTCAAAATAAAAGCACACAATGTTAAAAAATGCTCATCTGCTCTGATAGAAAATTAACGTTTGCTTTCACTTACTCCCCAAATGTGACTCTCGCAGGTACGTGTCTCTGTTGCTGTTGCTCTTCCTGATCCCCGGCATCGTCATGATGACAGCGTACGGACTCATCTCCATGGAGCTCTACAGAGGCATCAAGTTTGAGCTGTCCAATAGGAAATCCAGCAGAGGTACACGTGTAAATACAGGAAATGTAACAACGATGTGCTTCTCCATGTCTGGATATTTACTGACTTCTCATCAATATAAGAAATCCATTAATTCCAACTGTTATTACCAAATAATGCTCGGACGCTTTGAGACGTTTACAGGTTTTTCTTTCTAAATCTTCAGTGACAACTTCGTCACTGGGGTTTTGCTACTTCACGTTTTACGCCGCTGATGAAATCTCCCTTTAACTCTCCGCTCTTTTCTTCTTCGTCTCCTGACAGACAGGCAGTGCAGCACTGGCAGCATCAAACCCGGTGACAGTGACGGCTGCTACATGCTGCCGTCTAAGAAGAGGAGCCTCACGCTGTGCAGCAGCAGCTCTTCCCACTCCAGCACAAAGCACATGGCGGTGGGTCGTGTGTGCAGCAGCAGCAGCAGCTCCACAGCCAACCTGATGGCCAAGAAGCGCGTGGTCCGCATGCTGCTGGTCATCGTCTTTCTCTTTTTCCTCTGCTGGACCCCCGTGTTCGTGGTCAACGCGTGGCAGGCGTTCGACCGGCGCTCGGCCTACCGCCTGACCGGTGCGCCCATCTCCTTCATCCACCTGCTGTCCTACACCTCGGCCTGCGTCAACCCCATCATCTACTGTTTCATGAACAAGCGTTTCCGCCAGGGCATGCTGGCCACCTTCGGCTGCTGCAGCCGCTTCAGGAGGAGCGACTCGAGGGGGTCAGCCGGAAGCGCCAAAGGGGACGTGGGACGAACGAGACCGGCGCCAAGGACCGTCGAGCAGAACGGCCACACCCCGACGAGCGGGGCCACCACACGCCTCACCTACACTGGCATCCGAGCATCAGCCTGGAGTGAGCTGACCTAGAGTGGACTGAGAGAGGAGCAGCCCGAGTTAAGACACTTGTAGAGAGTCTGTGTTGTTGTACTGACAGGACCAGTTTACGAGCAGCCATGTTGCTTTAGCTTGACGTGTGACACGTGAGCACTAGCGTTAAAGAGCTCGAAGCAGCAGTGGTGCACATCCAGAGCTCTCTCTCTCTCTCTCTCTCTCTCACTGCAGAACATACGGCCACATGTTTCTGGAAAACCCTGAAGGACCACAAGATGAAGCAGAACACGCAGATTAATGTAGTCGACATGTGCTCTTTAAACTAATTGTAGCTCTGCCACAGCCACAAAACCGTCTCTCCTCTCTGTGCCAGATCGGTGCCGGAAGTTTCAGTCTCCGCAAACAATAAAAAAATAAAGAATAAAAACAAAGTTTCTCAAAAGGCAAAAATCTCAAAACCTGGACGAATAAAACCATCAACATCTACGTGATACACAAAAGATAAAACGTTTTTGTGGCTTTATTTCTTTACCGTTTGGATTTTAGTTGAACTGAACCTTAAGATGTTAGGACACAAGTATATCTGTCAAAGAAGGTGAGACAAACTTTAAATAAGTTCTTTACTCTGAAAAGGGAACGAACCCACCTACAGGGGCATTAGTAGATTTTCTGCATATCACATGATCTTATGATTTGTAGCCACCAGGTGGAAGTCGAGAAGATTTGGGAGAGCTGTCATGACATCCATCTTTGGAATAAAGTCTATGGTCTGGAAGTATCGCACAGAACAAAACAAACTCCTAAAAACTTTGCTCCAAATGCTATTTAGTCAATAAACCACAGATTTTAGCTTTAATGGTTTGATCATCATCAGCTTAATTCTCAAAAACGTCAACATATCCCTTTAAAACTCACTGTGATGGATTACGCAACTGAAATATTTGACTTTCTGTATTCCGGTGTTGAGTCATGAGTAACAGAAACTCCTCACGATTTGTGGTTAATTGGCTTCGACGTGACGAACACTGATGTGGTCCTTCAACTTGTTTTTAGGTGCTTGAGGCTGCGAATCAAAGGCCTTTAACCGAACAGGCGTTCATTAGTCATTTTCAGCAGCAGCTGCCTGCCGCAGTACGCAGCACTTTCAAAACATCCCCCCCACCCCCACCCGGCACACAAACTGTCTCATCCTTGACCCCGCTGTGAGTGTGAGCTGGAGCGGCCTTATCGTTTCTGTGGGACCTGAAACACCTGGTTCACCCACTTTTTTCTTCAAAGGCATCTTGCCGACTTTGTTTTTAAAGAATAAACAGCGTTAATGTAGCAACTTATATCTTTTTATTTCCTCATGTCACTTTGTTGTCATTATTGTTGTTATTGTTTTGGGTCTGATATGAAACGCTGAGAGTTGTGGTATCTTGTTTGACCGTATGATAACGTGCCTATAGCCTGTGGCTACGCGACTGAATGTAAAAACATAATCCCAGTGATTTCAGTGGTTGTGCGTCTGAAAGCAGTTCCGGGGACGACATTGTGCTCTCTTACAAACCTATGAATAACCAACGCGTGGTTGACCATATAAAGACCTTGAATGGCCACTGTGCAACTGCGTCTGCGAAGACTTGGGGCAGAGCAACTCAGAGCTTTTAACGGCTTTAATAAAAGTGGATCTAAAGGACAGAGGGGCATTAGGGCCCAGACAAGTGGCGGAAAGAAAAGGGGGGAATCTGCTGGGACTTCTTCCCGGGGATAAGAGCTCCATTTGGGTTTGGTAGATGCCCAAAGCCCCACCCGCCGTCACCCTGCAGCCACTGAGCAATGTTTACCTGTCGAGGGAGGGAGAAAAGACGGAAATGTTCCTTCACACAAAAGGAGACACAAGCCAGTTATTCATTTGTACTCTTCTCAGCTTAAACCAGAGTTATTTGGAAGTTACAAAAATAAAAACGTACATGCACCAAGTGTGATTTTGTATCACTTTTTTTATTTCTCATTTTTATGCCAATATTGCAAGTTTTTTTTTTCCACGTTTTTTTCTCTTCTTTTAATGACATACAGATTTGAGCATGATCTGGAGCTGCAATATGTACAAAAACAAAACTAACGCATGTTATCAAAAAACCGTCCCCCTGTTTTGACGTTATTGCTAAAATGTTACAAACGGCACAGGTTTCTACCATCAGCAACCCTTTGAGCACTGAGTATACTACCACAATGACACCTCTGCTTACCATTTACTAGAATAATACACAGATACAGTGAGAGTGAAAGATAGTGGAAGGACGTGAAGGAAGGGAAGAGAAGAAGAAGAAGAAGAAGAGGGGAGATGACAACAGAAAAAAAGTGATCCGACTGTAGCAAAGCTAAGCACGACAGGCTGCATGATGAAACAAAAAAAATAAAGAGGGGGGGGGGGTGAGAAAACTCCAAATGTACAAACAAAAAACATGAGCGATAAAAGAGTGAGGATGAAATGTGTGAGAGAAAAAGAAAGGTTAGCGCTCTGTAGTGCAAACAGCCAAATAGTCTTAAGGAGAAGTAAGGCTGAGTGCGACAGAGAAGGGCTCCACACTCCTTTTTTTTTTAAATTTGTTTAAAGCTGCCTCTCACTCTGCCCTGTTTTGTTTAGCAGTGCATGAAAACTACATTATAAAAGACAT